GTTTACGGTAATTCTGGCTGGGTAGAGTGGCGGTTGGGGCCAGTTAAAGTGGATGGGACCGAAGAGAAACGACGGCATCGTCAGCCTTCTTACTGACCATGGCGCCGTGAAAAATGGTGCAATAATGTGCAAAATGGTGCAAAAATGGTACCTGTGCGCCCAGCCTAGCTACTCACGAAAGAAGAGAGAGAGATCTCACCTGATCGTGAGCACTGCCTTTACGCTTTAACGTATTATTGGGCTAACCATTGCGAGTGAAGATCCTGTTGTGTTTGGCATATTGAAATGGTTTGCTTTGCAGGACTGGATCTGAAATGGGGTCAACCAGACGGTGACGAACGTCAGCCAGTGAAAGCCTACATCGTCGAAGTGCAAGAAGGACGAAGTGGGAAGTGGAAGAAAATAGCAGAGACCAAAGCTACAGAGCTAAAGGTCGGCTCCTTCCTGACTTTTGGCTATTCTCATAATAGTAGGTAAATTACAGGTAAAAGATTTAAAAGAAAATGGCGAATACAAATTCCGCGTCAAGGCTGTAAACGAAGTCGGAGAGTCAGACCCTCTCACTGGTGAAACTGTGATCGCCAAGAACCCCTACAGTAAGTCAATTAATCTATTCACTTTAAGAGCAGGACGAAGCGATACTTACAGGGCAACTCTTCAAGAAGTAAAACTTAATAAGTTCCTGGGTGTACTAGGAGGTTGATAATCGAACTTAGACGTGGTGTTTGCTTCAGTGGGACTGTTTTAGTGCAAAGTAGTGATCAAATCCGCCTCTTCGAGGCAAGGTCCTCCGTCAAAGTCACGGAAGTCAAAGCGTTTTTGGTAACATAACTCGTCGTGATGCTAACCTTTTTTGGTGGCTTAGCACTGACATTTTAAACATGTCTTTTTGTCACGTTTTTGTGCTTCGTTGTCATCTAACTGTGCTCAGAAATAGTGAATGTCTGTGTGTCGCTATTCAGAAGTACCTGGCAAACCGCGAAATATGGACGTAGCCGACATGGATAAGGACCATCTCACTCTTCAATGGGAACCACCTGAGGACGACGGAAAGTCGCCTATCATCGAGTATATCGTTGAGAGACGAGAAAAATCCGAGAAAAATTGGAACGTTGTTGGCACCACACCTGCCGACGGTATGGGAAAGCACTACCTCACTGATGATAAGGTCGTCGAAGGCAAGGAATACTACTACCGCGTGAAAGCCGTCAATAAAGCTGGTCCCGGTGATCCATGCGATCACGGCAAAAGCTTCAAAATCAAGGCTGTACCAGGTTCGACATCTCTTGCACTTCACGTTCTTTTATTATTGATCACTTTTGTGTTTTTTAGTTTATCAGCTTATGTAGATTACGTAGATTGACCTACGTCGCTCTAACTACTGGCTCAACTCACCTCTAGGAAATTAGCTTTATGTCTAGATGATTAGTGAGTAGAAATACACTCGGAATCCCTGACATGAGGTAGGCGTGGCTGCGTACTTCAGCTGAACGTGGCTGCAGCTAAGCATATCGTGAGATTTTATCATTTTGGGGCAGTTATTATCATGTCTCTGTTCAACGTCGAACAAGATGAGAGTTGTCTCAAATTGAAACATCCCACGAGTAGCACGTCTTAGGCCACGTTTAAATGCCACGCCTACCCCTTCACAGGGATAAGGAGTATACATGTGTTGCATGAGCCTAGACATCTGAAACTTATCTCGGGGCAGTTTGGCGACGAGGGGGGGGGGGCATCTTGCACTTCTGCCACTTCCCGTCGACGTGTCGATCTGCAGAACCTTTCTAGAGTTTACAGGTTTGACCATGGTAGCTCGACGAACTTGCTCCAGCTTCGCAAGAGTTAACAAGTTCCACTAGAG